TGAATACTTTCCGTACCCACTGTATATATATATATATATATATATATTTTATTTATTTATTTATTTTTTTTTATTTTATTAAATTTTTTAATTCAAACGTTTGGTCACCTAGGCCTGTGTTATTGTCTTATGTTTTACTGTTTTCAGATAGATGCAATAATGTGAGTGTTGAAATACAGCAACTTTCACTCTTCATAGTAAAAAAGCAGCTGCTTTTTACCTGCTGCTGGTAAAGTTTTGACTCTCTACTCAACTGAATCGCCTCATCAAGAGGCCACTTTTCATTTTCTTAGCTTCTGTTTTCTGCTGTCTGTCAGCTGAGGTCAAGCTCAAATCACTTTTTTTGAGCATGCTCAGAACGAGAGAGGGAAGCAGGAAGTCTCAGTAGCTGTTTCCTCGTCCTCTTTCTTTCATCTCGTTCTATTTTCAACTTTTTTATGGGTCATGCAAAGACATGGTCTCTGCACCGGGGTCAAACGGAGGACGAGGTCGTCACGGAAACACAAAACAACATCTCGACTAATGCTTCAGGAGTCTTCATTGGCCTGATGTTGAACTCTGTCTGACCTTTGAACTTTATTGCGACTGGTTGTGAAAGTCATGCTGGTGGAGTCACTGGCCACATGTAGTGCTCTTGTACATGAAGTTTTAACACCTAAAAAAAGTTATTAGTATTGACAATTTTGCCAAATCAATGCTATGCAAAAAAAAAGGTGGCACGATTTGGGGAAAATTTATTTGTGAATTGTCTATTTATTTATTTATAAAAATTGCAATTGCAAATTTAAAGTATGATTGTAAAACAAATGATAGGTTTTCTGTGCAATTTGGTCCAAATTTTGTGATAATATATCAATGGCTATTATTATTATTAATAATAATAATAATATTAGTATTATTAAATGTTGTTAATTATAATAATAATGATAATAAAGTATTATTATTATTATTATTATTATTATTATTATTAAACAAAACAATAAGAAATATTACTATTGTAATTTTACTGTAAAATAAAAAAAAAACAAGTATACAACAATAAAACTTTCTACAGCTTAAGACATTTTTTTTATTGTATTAATGACTCATAATGACTTTTTATTGTAAATGACTGCTGTTAAGTGCTGATAGAGTGTATTGTATTCCATTGCATTTTAAGCTATTTTGTTTTTGGTACTGACATAAATTAGAGAATTTTTTTAAATTATTATTTATGGAATAAATACTTGGCACCGAGGAAGGGGTAATACCCGAAAACGTTCTTCACCTTTGCACTTTTTTTTGTACATATTTTTGTGACCTCTGAGCAATAAAGTACATTTATCTGTTCAAGTTTAATGCCATAACCCTTACTGAGTTGACTTGGTAAGCTTCTCTCTCTTTTTTTTTTGGATTGAAAAATAAAAAATATATAATATAAATTGTATAACTGATAGCTAGGATGCATTAAATTGATCAATATTGGCAAAGACATTTATTATTTAT